TTTTGGTCAGCCAATCAATCCCCTTGCTTCTTGGCAAATTACCCCGCTCCCAACGACGACTTGGCCCTGTTTGGGCAAAACGAGTTGCACACAAAGTACGCTCTTGAAGAAATATAAAGAGAACGTGACGGCCCTTACTTGGCACGCGTGGGCAGGCTTCCTCGCGAGTGTTGAACGGAGGCGGCCGGGCCTGGCCTCAAAACTTCAACAACTCAAACACCGACAGCAGTAGACAACACGTGTAGTTTTTTTTTCGTCCCACCCGAGGGGGAGTATTGTAGCTCCTCGCCCTCCTCTCCACGACGCCTCCGCTTGGTGTGTGGTTTGGCAAGGGGGAAACGAGAGCTCTACGCACGCGTCGGGCTTCAAGCAGAGGCGGACACCAGCTCCTCCGCTGATCACTGTCGTCATCAGCACCCCCTTTGCTGAGCCCGATCCTCGGCAGGGATCTGACCTACCATCGGAAGGTTGAAGTGGAGGAGCGGCAAATAGAGCTAGGTCATTGGAGCTAGCTGAAGTCGTGCTAGCTGCTTTATTCCTTCAAACAGCACAGCAGGAAGGCGGAGCAGAGCGAGTACCCTCTGTCGCCCACGGAGCCTTGGAAGCTAGCCGAGGCGACCATGTCCTCTCGGCATGGATTCCTGGGCACTAGCAGCAACAGCAGCAGCAGCGGGAGCAACAACAGCGGCGGGAGGAGGCGGCGCGCTGGAACGACCATTTTGGTGACGGTGTTCGAAGCAGAGACCGGAAAGCAACTAGACTTTGAGCTTTCGGAAAGCGGGCATGACGCGGGGGGTGCCACAGAGGCCCTCCGCAGAAGGCTCTACAGGTGCGCGTGTGACGGCAGTAGCAGCTGTGGCTGCGTGCTCTTGTCCTTTCGAGTCGCGGGAGCTCTTTGCTGCTGCCAACGGGCACGAGTTCCGGAACGGTGCCTGGAAAGAGTCGTTATGAAGAAACCCTCTCCTTTATTGGAATGATGTTTTCTTCCCACCAGCAGGCACGTGGCGGATGCTGCCGCTGCCTAAAGCATGTTGTGTAGAGGGGGGGTGAACCGTCGCAGATCTTTCCCCGGCGAGCGATGGGCGTAGTCCGGGGAGGAGCCCTTGAGTGTACGTTGCCTACGAGCTGCCGTCTCGAATTCTTACGCCAAGCACGAGTAACACCGCTGCTCCTTCCTCGTGGCTTTCCGCTACTTCCATCTCCAATATCCAGCTGCCAAAATCGTCCAGCGCGTGTGTTGCCGTTGACATCCTTGCGCGTTCTGATACCACGCGTTTAGACTAAGGTTTTGGGAGCAGTTCACACACAGCGTGGGCATTCTGGAGGGCTAGGGTCTCGAGCTGTTTCGCTGTTTGCTTCGCTATCACACATCACAAGAGCAGCATGACTGCTTGTCTTGATCATGCATACAACCGTATAGTGAACGTGTTCTCTCCCCTGAGCGACACGTCAGATTGGAGATACCACGCGCAGCAACACACCCAGAGATGGCGTTCACCGTTATTTGTCATCCTGCCACAACAGCTGTGCGTGATGTAGCCTGTAGCCTGCAGGGCTGCTCTGCTTCGCAGCGTCTGGACATTACCGTTAGTGTGTAAATACGTGACAGAGCGAGAGAGATTAGCGTCTCGGCCGGCACTGCTGTGCAGCTTCATCGAAAACGCCATCCATGCGGAAAGGTACGCGTTTGCTTTGGCTTTGAGCAGGATGCGATCGATGAACGCCAATGGTGCAGAGTCCGCAACTGCGGTAGCGCCACTTTTGAAGCCATGGTGGATCCTTGGATGCTGAATCGGTTATTTGTTGATGAACTTGCAGTGCGCAACCAACGTCGCCAAGCGGAGGGATAAGGTTAAGAAATTCAATCTGGAGCCTGCGGGTGGAACGCCGTGATCAAGGCCAGATATGTCCCGTTCGAAAACAAAACGCCGCCTCCTGCTGTGACCAGGCAACCTACAGGGGTAATCTGCGGTATCTAGCTCCCCGATGAGAGGCTGTCTGTTAGACTGGGCATGGAGCGCTGCTGCAGCTCACACCGCGCACATTTGGGCATCAGCAATGTGCATCAGCAGCCCGCTGTACCGGACACGAACACACAGTTTGTTTTCCCGCTGTATTTGTACGACTGGCGTCTTCACATTGGTTAGCCGGCTAGCGCGTCGATGCTTCTGTAACTTAACAAACACACATAACCCCCCCGTCCTCTTCTTCCGCATCGTTTGTACCCTTACGGTTCGGGAAAGACGCGGGTGCTAGACTGCTACATTTTTTCATTTTTGCCGTGAGCGATTGAGAAACAACTGCCAAATTGGCATGTATTGCCATGCGTTCAGACAGGCAGCGCAGCACCGCAAGATTATTGTACTTTAGTAGTACCTTGTTTTGGCCTCGGAATGCGACCCTGAATCGCAAAGAAAGTCAGGCACACTCCACCCCGGGCAGAAGGAGCTCTCCTTCTGTCTTGGTGTTGTCCAGCACGAAACCACGTGTCTGTGAAGTTGGGGCTATTTGCCGCGGGAACCTAGTTAAACGCCTCGACCTTGTTTGCTCTCGGCTATCGGAAGTCGTTCTTACATATACATATGCAAGTGTTATGGACCCTGCGCCACCGTTTTGTCGTGATGGGAATGACGACGTCGGCAGTTCTCTCCCCCCTACCTCAACAGGTTACATTACCCACCCTCTCGACAAAGTCGCTACCCTAGTCAGGAGCACGATGATGCTACATATCGCACGAGGTTGAGGATGTAACGGTTGTGACGCGAATGTGTGTTTCTTTTTTGTGCGGAAGTTGTCTTGTTGGTGATGCAGGTGGAGTGTACGATGAAGACGTTAATCAGCATGGTATTATGAACCCCGCCTAGACACACCGCGTATTCGCTTTTCGTATTCATAGGACTGTTCGATCGATTTGTGTATTCTGCGAAAACTGAAGCAACCTCAAAATACCGAAATATCTCCAGTAACGCCCCGTTTTTTCGCCCTGGCGTGTTCAACCATCGCCCAGCCGCAATTTCGATCTACAATACATGCTGGAACAAAACCCTGCGAATTATTTCACAAACCGCTTTTCTTCAACTATCACCGCTGACACCTACAATCCCACCCCCCTCCCCGCCCGACAGCTTGACAGGGGTGCCTGCAGAAAACCAGATTATACTCTGGGGAGGCCCCCCCTACAAGCCGCTCCGCTCCCAGCTTCCCCCGGCGAGCATTACCGTCACAGTGCCGAGCACCGCCCCCACCGGTAGCGCTAGCTCGCGCGTTGGGTCATCGTCTTCGAGTTCGAGTTTGACGACCACCGTCGCTACCAAGATTTTTCTTTTCGACTGGCGTACCCTAGCCCCGGAGCAGCAACAGCAGCACCAGCAGCAGCGGCATCGCCGCTCTTCATCCAACTCCCAAATTATCGGTACCCTCGACGGCTCGCTTACCCCCAGCGGAAGCAGCGGCGGCGGCGGGACCGGTGGCGTAGACCAGCCCTTGGCATCGTCGTCAGCTGCGCCTGGCGTCACCGGTGTTGACGCAGCTGGAGCAGCGGCGGCAGAGTCGTTGATGATGGAAGAAGCGGCGGAGTTCGTGGGTCCTGCGGAGGTTACCCTGCCCACGGAACCAGGGGCGTCGCCGTCTCCGTTGCCGCCGGTGGAGGGATCCTATCTGCTCAAGGTCAGGCTGCCACTCTCCCACTCTATAGAGACTTGTGACTTGTTTGGTTCCGTTTTGTCGCTTCAGATGTTGGTGTTGGTTGGTGAGGTACATTTCCGTGTGATTGCGGGTTGCCGACCTGTTGTCTGAACGCTCCGGCTTTGTTCGGTGTGCCTCGGCGCCTACTCGGACTTCGTGGGAGTACCGACGGGAATGAAATGGGCGGCACGTTGTGGAGGGGTCCCGCAGGTTGTAGTTCCCCCATTCTGTTGTCAAACTTTGGTATTCCTTGTGGATAGATTCAGTTGGTAGTATGAACGAGAAAACAAACGGCGGACGATCTGCCCCTCCCCGTCCCTGATGTGCGTTGTCCATGCCACTCGTTTTTAGCGCCGGTTAGCAGGATCGATATTGTGTTTCGTTTTCGCGGCTCTCTCCTGCCAGACTACCAGAAGACCAGAAGACTCAACCTCGATCAAGGGCAGGATACTTGCGATCGAATATCCCCCCCAACTCTGCGTATAAGAAGACTGAGTGCGTGTAGTTGTTTGACATGGGAATCTACTTTGTCGGACCCCAGCCACCTCTCCAGTGTTTCAGCTCTTGTGGCCCGGTCTCCAGACCAATCACAATCGTTCCGCGCTAGTCTCCTCGCGCTTCGGCTCCCCTCCGTCACCTCTTGTGGTGTACCATCAACTACGGCTCTGACCTTACGCCCATCACTCATCTTTCCCTTTTTCTCCGTCCCGGTGTATATGGTGTTTCAATTGTCATTGCCCTCTGCTGGGTTAAATGGTAAAAACCGCAGACGATTGCCGGGTACGAGAGGGGCTCGATGCTGACCTTGAACAGAGGGCAAGCGTACCTCGAATCGTCCCGACGGAGATTGGCGGGAGCGGAGACGTGCGCAGAGAGGATGCAAACTATGGTGGGGTTCCGTGGGTTGAAAGTGACTGGTGGGGGGGGGAGGGGGTGTACTCATAGTCGTGCATGCCGTAGTCGTTAGACCATTGACCTCGCATCCCTACAAAGCCGGGATGGAGCAGGCCGGGTTCTCACCGGACCAGGCTCTCACATCACCAAGCGCGAAACGCCCGGCGAGTCGCATGAAGGGTGCGCTGCATCCTGCTAAGGGTGTTCGGCATCATGTGCTTACTTCCTTGCGTACGGATGACAGCTGCATATGACTCAATGCTTGCGGGGGGAAGGGGGGGAGGGCGATTACTGTGTGGGTTGTGTCTGTATTGCATCTCCCAAGGGTAGCGAATGACCTGTGCTTCTCCCGAGAGGTTTGCTGGCTTGCGCATTTGTGCGAGCGTAAGTTTCCGCTGTTATGACGGAAGAGCATGTTTGTGCAGCTTATCTGAAACGGAGGCCACGACCCGCCGTGTTGTGCCTTCCCGGTGATCGCCTTTCATGCCGGATGGTTAAGCTGTGGGCTTGATTGTACAACTGGTGTTGGTGTTGTTTTGTATTACCCTGCCCCGAGGGCCTGTCTTTCTGTTGCCTCCGCCATTTTCGTACAGTGGCTTTGGGGAGTCTGTTGCGTTTTCGCATCATTATCTGGCTGGTCACTCGGGTACAGCAGTACATGTGTGCGTCAGAAGCGGTTGGCGTCTACGTATGTGTCCTTGTGTGTGTTGCGGCGCTAGGGAAAGGTCACAGGCGCAGTACGTCTGTCTGAATGAGACCGCTTGTTTTGGTAAGCCATTTTTTTGTGTAACATCAGGGCTTTTTCACAGCCTTTACTGCTACGTCGGATCTCGGCCTCGGCAAGTCTTGCTAGACTTTGCCAGTATGTGTTTGTTGAGATGGTGTACGCTGGTTTTCTTTGTCCGAATTAATCAGGTTATGGCTCTAGACGCGGCTGTGTCCAACTCCCTGGACCACTGGGACCCTCTGCAACGAGCGTACAACGGCCTCAAGGAGAAGCTTGGAGAACAGGCGCTGAGGCACGAGAAGATGCTCGAGGTGACTAGTTTTAACTGACCGCGACAAGATACCCTACACTACACCACGTCTGGCTAGCGCGTGCTCATACGCATTCCTATCACGGGGGGGGGGCGCGTGTTTTATCGTGTTTTATCAGCGTGATGCTTATCATTGGCGGTCCTTCGTCGCCAGGCTGTAGAGTATGTCGTCGGTATGGATGTTCGTTGGTCAGCTGGTAGGTGCGGCCGATGTCAGTTTAAACATCACACGCACGCACAAGCACACAAGCACACGTTTCGACTCCGCTCTCTTTTTGTGCTCTGCCTGTCATTGTGGTTTGGTTCCTGACGTCCTCGTGTAGTGCCGTTGAGAACATGTGATTGCCGACGGCCGACGGATGCCCACAGAGTATGGTTGCTTTTTTGTGCTGGTGGTCCTGCGTGCAGATGTGTGGTGTTGTCGGTGCGAATTCCACTGCACACTTGTGTGGCTTATCTCTGTCGATTTGTTTTGAAGGAGATGAGGCCATGTATGCCCTCTTACCCCTTCTGTCTTTCTTCCTCCCGTGTATCCCCATCGTCATCTTCCTCGCCACCGAACATTGACATTGACGATACGCTCTGTTGTTGTCGTTGTTGTTGATGCCACCGGTGCTGCCCAGATTTCGATAGGTCTACTCTTCCCGCCTGACGTTCCTTTAACTCCCAACCGCCTCTCTTTTCTCCTGCATGCATCTCGTCCCTTACTGTTGTTGTTGTTGTTGACCTACCTTTAACTTCAACCACCTCTTGTTTATCCTACCGGCTTCTCGCCTGTTATTGTTGTTGCTGACCTACCGGTGCTCCTACGTCCATCTCGTCTGTTACTCCTGTTGCTCTTGTGTGCTGATGGAAAACAGACGTTTGAGCAAGACGTTGCCACGCTCGGGACAATACCCGTGCACCCGGCTCTCGCCGCCGCCTCAGCAACAACGACAATCACCCGCGGTGGCGGTGGCCGGCAGAGCCGGGCCCCTTCACTATCCTCCTCGACCGCTTCCTCCTCTTCGCGGCTGGGCAGCGGCCGAATCGATTATTCCATCTCAGAAGAGCCCCCTTTAGACCCTACGGCAGGGGGTGGTTTGATGCGTGAGAAGAGATTGCCGTCAGTACGGCAAGGGGAGGAGGAGGAGGTGGGCGGGAGTGGGAGAGGTGGCAAGACGTTGCTGGACTGCATCCCGGTAGAGAGGGAGCAGAGGCTGCTGGAGTCGTGCCGCACCAGCCAGCGGAGGTTCCAGCAGGAGGCGGAGAACGTGGCGCAGAAGTTCGCCACCATTGAGAAGGTGGGCGAGCGAGCATACACGCACCCACGCCTGTGTTGTTTTTCATCACTGGAACGACTCGTTTCAACTGGACGCACTTTCCCTCCAAAAACACGTCTACTAACGATTGGTATCGCCACTATCACGACGTGTGGCAGTACACGGCGTCGGCGGGATGCAACCGCTGTTGGTTCAGCGCGTCTACAGATAGCACGAAGGCCGGTGTTGGTAGAGGAGTGATCCACCAACAACATTACACCTCAAACCGCGCGTCTAAGCGCGTATATGCGTAGTTTGAAGCCGTTCCGTACTTCTCTGGGCATTTTCTTGTTGTTGCACCTCTTTCCCCCCGAGCCTTCGGCACTGATACACAAAAAAGGCATCTGAATACTAGCGATGTTGTTGATGTTGGCGGCGTAGTTGTTGTCTTGGCGAAAAGCGAATCCCATCCTGACCTCTGTATTCTTTTCGGATTCCCTGAGGGAACGTGAATTTATTGCCGCGGCCGTGTACATTGTAGCAAGGCCCATGTTGGCAGAAAAGAAACGGAGAAAAAAGGCCACGTTTCCCGATGAAAGCACGCCGGCGGGACACATGACTCCAGCAACAAAAACGTGTCCCGTGAGACATGCTTTTGCTTGCGACGACTATCAATTTTACCCCAGCAACAAAATGTTACTGAATGATCAATGCTACATGGGTGGGTGTGCCCTCCCCATGCACGAAAGATTTGTCCCGGCACTAATTCACGTATGCGCCCCCCCCCCCCCCCCCCCCCCCCCCCCCCCCCCCCCCCCCCCCC